TTCGCTGCAGCCACAGCCTTCTTTGCTGCATTCTTCGCTTCTTTGTACTTACGCCAGCTACTAGCTGACTTGTCGTATGAAACGCGTGGTATCTCTTCTTCTTCTCGCGAACCGTTTCTTTGGCATAGTCTGTCCACAACCACGGCTGCTTATCAATTCTACGCCTTCCAGGCTTCGTGATGCCAAGTTCGGAAGGAGCTGCCTCATGTATCGCCTTAGTAGCACTTCTCCAGGTCTCATCGACAGTCGTGACGGTGGGAAGTCTAATACGAGAGATTACTGCTGCCTCCTTTTCTTTCAAACGCCACCATTTGATCCTCTCGGGACCACATCGCTCGACCCGTCTCGAACTGAGCCTTGCGATCTTTAGCGTGCAAATCAGTGGGCGATGCTCTGCGTGGCAACTGTCTCGTACGGCACAGTCTTCGCATCCGTGATGAGCCCTTGGTCGCGGTGTCTAACAAGAACGAAGACGAATCACGCTTACGAAACCTTGTATTCGCGATGACTAGGTTATGGGCTTCCGCATACTCAAGGATTCGCTCCGCATCAGTGTTACGTGTTCTATAACCGAAACCACCATGACACCGGGGATATCCCGAGCATCGCCCTTTCGATGGCGCGTTGAATAACGCCAACCGCATGCTCATCCTGCTTTCGTGAGCCCAAGTCTTTGAGGCGTACGCTAAGGCAGGAAGGACTGCGGAATCGGAGAGGTGGGCACGGAGCTCAGTGTTCCTCGTCTTCTTCGCTACTCCCTCGATGTTCTTGGAGGCTTCCCGAGCCGCTCGCTTCCTCCTGCTCAGCTCTGAAGCTAGATCATTCATCATATTGATTTCACGACCTAGGTACACATAGCTAGAGCATTCAGATAGTCGTTCCGTTGAGCGTGAATGGGGCATCAGATTCCAAACCATTTCTGCTCATGAACATCGTCTTCGTTAGATTCACCGTAGACCCATCTTCCACATTGCGCAGTCGAATTCAGCCAGCATTCTTTCCGCTTGCTCGATTTTGGTGTTATCAAAACGATGTCGTCAGCAAAGCGGAATGATGTAGTTGCGGACCGTCGATCTTCACTCCCATGTCTTCCCACTCAGTTGACGCATGACGTTCTCGAGGGAGGCGCTGAAGAGCTTTGGCGAGATGGTGTCGCCCTGTGGGACCCCTCTCTTCACGTGTATGATGATCTCCTTGTAGAATGGTGAGATCTTGGCAGTGAGGTTGCTGTAGAGCTCACGAAGAATCCTGATGTACTGAGTAGGAATACCCTGGTTGCCCAGGGCTTCGATAACCGCTTCTGTCTCAACGGAGTCGAAGGCTTTCTTCAAGTCAATGAAGGGAGACATAGCGTTTGTACTCTCGCGATACTTCGATGAGCTTCGTTACCGTGGATGTGATCGATCGTGCTGAATCTTCTTCGAAAGCCTGCTTGCTCGCATGGCGCTGTCCTTCTTCCAGTGTTCTTCCAATCCTGTTAAGGAGACTCGGTTGTGAAGAGTTTGTAGACTACAGGCAGGAATATTGGGCAATAATTGCCAATGTCGTATGGGTCTCCCTTCTTGTACAGCAACACAGCCTTGCTGGGTTTCCACGAGGTGGGTACCTTGCATTCCGACAGGTAGCGCGTAAAGAGTCGAGCCAGAGTTTTGACGAGAACTGGCGGAAGACTCTTCAGATGTTCGGGTCTATCCTGTCGGGACCGGGTGCCATACGATTCTTCACCGACGAGATGGCGTGTCGGACTTCGGAAGAGAGAACTGCAGGAATGACATATCCATCCAGCTCCAAGCGGTATGATTGCAGGTGTACGTGGCTGTCGAAGAGATCCGAGTAGAAGTCGTGGATGACCTTCTCCATTGCCCTTCTGGATGCGGTGATTGTTCCATCCGGACGTCGGACGGCGGTCATCTTGGTCTTACAGTTGGCGAAGTCGCGGCGGGCCTTGCGTATGCTCTTCCCAGCCTCTGCGGCTTCCACCAGTACTGCTGCTCTTCTCTCCTTGGGGGCTTCCTTTATCGCTCCTCTGCATAGCTTCGCAAGCTCAAACGTCTGCTGGTGATTGCCTGCGGCTCGTGCGACTCCACGTTGGCGAATCAGCTCGAGAGTTTCCAGAGATAGACGCTTCTTGGTAATCTTAGAGCCCTCTGACTTCTTGGCGCAGTCGTGAAGATGTGCAACAAGCCGTTAGTATTCCTCGTCATGTCGTCGATGACAGAATCCTCTCAGAGCCCAGCGAGAGAAGTGAAGTGATCCCAGTTGATGGAGGTCTTGGGGCTTCGCTTCTCAAACTTTGCGGCTCTCTCTCCTCCCATCGAAAAGCGGAATCTTGCGCGAAGGAGACGATGGTTGGATCCCGTATAGAAGTTAGGGACAACAGCGACATCGGTCAGGCAAAACCTTCGATTGCAGATGATGTCGTTATGGAATTGTCCACCAGAAGACTCCCTTGTCCAGCGTAGAGAGTAGGGCTTCTGGAACTGCGAGTTACCATGGATGGTATCTGTCGACATGATAAACTCAGACAGCCTTTCACCCTGCTCATTCCACTCCGTTCCGTGAGTTCCGATGGAAGTTTTCCAGCCGTTTTTCTTGGTCCGATCTTAGCGTTGAAATCACCGACGATGACCCTTGAAGAAGGTATGATCTTCCTTGTAGAACTTTCCAATTGTATATGGAACGCTCATCCTCGTCGTAGCTTGAGTTGGTGCGTAGGCGACGAAGATTGTCAAAGCTGGAGTTGAACCACATCTTCTCAGTCGCAAACGTCCGATTCGGGTCGTCAGACTTTCGTACGAATCGATGTTTATGGCCAAGTGCGTGTTGATGAGGACGCCCACACCGCCAACGCCTCTGCTGTCGCATGTTTCGAGGAACAGCTCTTCTCCAGTCTCGTATAATGCGTGTAGCGGGCGATGCCTCCTCGTCTCGGTCAGTCCGATGACATCGTTCTTGATCTCCCTGGCTTGCAACATCAGATCTTCGATATGAGCTTCCGATGCAAGCATCCGTGCGTTGAAAGTACAGATCGTCATCCTAGTCCTGTGCGACTTGAATCTCCGTTGACCCTCTGATTTAGCAGCCTCGCCCGAGCGGAAACAATTCGTATTTCTCATTGACACTGTTCCGCGTTTCTATTAGAGCAATCCATCGTAAGTGAGCAAGGTCCTTGAACAAATCAGTGAAATTACATGCCGAGAAAACTCGTCGACTCACCAGTACCGTTAGGGAATCAGCGCCATGACCTTGAGACCTCCCAAGAGATACTACAATGATCACTCCATCCAACAGGCGGGAGGAAAATTCAATTCGCCGACAACTAACGAGCTGAGCTCACGCGATAAGATCACTGTTTGAATGGGCTCCTTTGCGCCGCGCTATTGACGCGTAGTAGATCGCTCAGCTCAACTACTTTTCGAAACAGATGCGCCGTGAGGTTCTAAGCTTATAAAGAGGAACGGCCACGACTCAAAAGACTCACTGCGTTAGGGAAGACTGATGTCGCCGATAACAGTGACTAGTTCCAGATGCTGGCCTTTTTGAGCTGTCCATGTTGTGGTTGTCAGTGCTGTTGCTGTTGTAGGCTGTTGTTGTCAGGGTACAGCATCGTGATGTTTGAAATGGCGGTGCCATTACGACCCTCCCCCCCCCCGGGAAAAGGGTTCTGGTACGACCCCCCTCCCCTTCCGGCCCTAATTATTTGCTCTGATGAGAAGGATTAGACTCGCAAGCGCTTACAGCCGTATTATGATTCCACCCAAATTAGCAGTGGAGCAGATCTGTTGGCCGGATGGAAATCGCGGGGCTTTTTCTGGGGCTGACAGCTTTCTTAGGTGTGGAGCTTTTCAGAAACGGGAAGCGCGTGTTCAAGCGATGTATCTACTGTTGCGTCCTCTACCTACTTGCTGTCTGAATCTTCCCTGTTCGTGACATTTTTCAGATGGGTTACGGATGCGTTAGTGGTAATCGCGATGGGTTTTGTGCTTCAGACGAGAACATCTTCTTTCAGACGGAGTCTTTTGCAAAACTTAAAACGCCATTGAAACTCTGAGTGTTTCCTCTTTCCGAGAGGTTCTACAGTTTTTCTGAAGACCCGCTAGCTTAGAAGATACTCTAGATGGGTCACCCTTGCGCGACATCCTGAGCCTCTCAAAGGTCCGACTCCTCCCGTGCCATTGCAAGTATACCCATTCACGAACTTCAATATGCCTTCAAGACACATATTCCCGTTGAACTGAGTCAAAGCATAATTTGGTTATCCTCGATCGGGTTGGTCCGAGTGTGCGCTTACGCTTCTACGCAGAGGTGGTGGAAAGCTATGACTGCTGGTTTCAGACCGGGTCCTCTGCAGCTTTCCGTACACTCCATCAAACTTAGCGATCACACTTTTATGCTGTTTGGTGTTCACCGACCCAGCGTTTACGACCCCCCCCCGTCCCCAGCGGCCAAGTACGATCCCCCCCCCCGATGGGTTTTGCACAACGATGCTCTACCCTGGTTGTTGTCTCCCCGACGTGCCTCCAGCGATCTACCGTATTGCGCACAAAGAATCGGCGCAGTCTTAGATTGAACAGAGTTGCACATAAACTTTAATTCGCTCTCGATCCTCCTCCACTTCTGACCAGATATAAAACATTGGCATCCCGCTACTTCACTTCACATTTCAATAACAATACAATGCTCGATGCAATTAACTATCAACAGCATGCAGAATAGTACAATGAATAGGGATTTCCACTGCATCATCTTTGAGAAAACGGCAAATTGCTTAATACCCTTATTTGTGGTACAACGAGACAGCGTGTCGGTCGTCTTATCTTTCAGTTTAAAAGGCAATCTAGCAATCCTTATATACTACTAGCTAGCGCTCTAGAATGGCAGTGGATTTTCCACATTTCCGAACCATTTGTAAGTCTATTTTTAGGTATTGGCATTCTTGGCACGATGCCGGGATCGCTGGGGCTAAGGAGTCGCTTGGTGTGTGAGCTTGTGAATTTGAGACTTAAAACTCGTTTAAGCCTCTGAAGGCAACGATTGAATCAAAGCGTGGGGCCACTAGATCAATATTCTATTATACTTATAGCACAAGTATTCAACAATGTTCACATCAAACAAGTAAATGCCGTAGTCGCAGAAATAGAGCTGTTCGAGAAGAGTTGATATCATTGCAATCAGTCGGGGGGGGGGGCACGAGCCCGCCTCCTGCTTCCTTTTTTACCAAAAGTGATCGGTTAGCGATCGATTCACAAAGGAAACAAATCGTGATGGAAACGCAGCGGGTGGGCTCATTTCATGCCGCTTGACACCGCTTCAACTAATTGCAACGGTATAAACAGTACTGTCTTGAATTGACAGCGTCTCTGGTATATGTTACTGCAAATAATCGTCGTACTGTAGCGTTTCTCAGGTACCGAAGGAGCCAGCGAAATGGAGGGGCGTAATGAATGCCACTCAGTTCAGTGCGTTATGTGTACAACGAATGGATTCACTAGCTACTGATCCAGAGAGACATGCTGTTCATTTTTCTGAAGACTGCTTGTATTTGAATGTTTTCTCGCCTACACCCGTAAGTTACTAGTATCCAATCAATTAGTAATTCACTACTCACGACCAGAATTTGGCAACACCCATGTTCTGCAAAACGTTAATGCGCTGGTTAATGAAATGTGCAGAACAGGGCACATCCTGCCGCTAGGGAGAATTTTGCAAAACATGACCTTCTGTAGTAGTTTCCTCCTCTGTTACGATTCCCCCCCCCTCCCCTTCCTCATCCTTCATCCCACCTATCATCTTCCCGAACTTTCCCACTTCCCTACCATCTTCCATTTTTTCCTTCGAAATTCATTCTGAAAAAAAACACCCCGAGTGGGAGGGGCTGAACGGGTATATAGCGCACTTCGGAAGGAAAAAAACCGAAAAGGTCAATAGTCAAAAAAAATTCGTCGAAGGCAAATGGACCGTCTCCTTCCAGCGACCAAATACGACTGCCTTGCTGGGATTCGCAACGTACGATGGGCCCTCATGGCGAGCATGTTTTGCAGAATCTGCTTTCAGAATGATGACGGCTTTTTGATCTACTCGGAGAAGGGACGTCATAATTGTATCGTGCAGTACTAGGCTGTATAGTGGCGTTAAAGATAGCTGTACGAGAAGTAGATTGGTACTGACCTGGATTGTAAGGAAGCGTGGTAGAACAAACATCATCTTATTTTCGAACAAAACTCACCATGGGGTGCGCCTTCTCCGGTAACAAGTGTGTTGCATGGGAGAGGAAGCACCTTTGTAAGAAGCGATCATATTACTTACAAGGGAGGTCGTTCAGGGCGTGCTCCGCTTTTTCGGAACGGTTTATTGCACTTTGTAGGGCCTTGCCCATAAATCATAAAAGTGGGCTTCGTTTTGGCTGAGCGGCCCCTCGAATGCCAAAAAGGAGCGAAAAAGAAACCTATGGAAACTGATTGTTTTTCTACGAGCTGTAAACCGCTTGAAACTTTGACCAGTTGCTGAATGGAGAGACCATATAAAGGTACTATCGGAATCGAAGAGAAAAGTAGTCGGGGCCTGAGGTCTTACTTGTGGCACGTAATCAAGCGTGAACGGCTTCATAGAATGGTTTCTTCAACGATCGAAGGAATGTTCAGCAACAACGATCGGATGGCCTAGAGGATAGCGTGAAGGATTCTCAAGCGGACAGTCGGGGTGGGGATTATGGTTTGACTCCCCTCGGCGTGCGAGTTTTTGCATTTTTTTATATTTTGCTGTTATCGCGCTCAAACATGTCTGTGCGTGAGTATGTGTTCGATAACTGCCATTTATGGGCACATTTTAAATGGGAACACTCCATGAATCAGTGCTATTCAATTATTACAGGTTTTCATACCATTATAGGTCAGACCATGCCCGAATCACGAATATGGAACTTATTTGTAGGTACGGTGCCATTTATCGCTAATATGGAGTGACATGTTTCTCCCAATGATTGCGTTTGCTGCACACAAGTGAGGGATGTGTGGCGCAACCCGGGCGCCAAATTACGTCGGCGCCGAAAATAAGTGTGAAAATCATGATCGGGGCCATCGATTACCCCTGTAAACAATCTTTCGGCCAAGAAAATTTTTTCGGCTTTTTTGGGTGTGTGCGTTGCGTTGTGCCCGACAGTCCTTCTATAGAAGTCTACAGTGCCTCGCCATAGGGATCTCCTATTTTATTAATATTCAAAGATAAAAGTAACAGCGCCGATGAAATTCATGCAAAGAGTAAGGAAAGGCAAGCATTTCACCAGGTTTGCTGCCTGCCCGACGACCTGCTACGTCGTCGTTCCATCATCGTCTTTACGAAGATGGGATACTCCGGTCACTACTGCCGACCAAATGGCCACCAAAACACAGAAAATCGAAAAAAAATTTTGGCTGGAAGTTCGTTCATAAGGGTAATCGATGGTACTGATCACGATTTTGACACTTATTTTCGACGACGACGCAATTTGGCGCCAGTATAATGCTTAACGTCCCTCATATGGGGGTACATAGACGTACCTTTCGCTCCTTTTTGGCGTTCATGGGGCCGCTCAGCCAAAACGAAGCCCACTTCTATGGTTCATGGGCAAGGCCCTACAAAGTGCAATAAACCGTTTTGGAAAAGCGGGGCACGCCCTGAACGACCCTCCTACTTAGAGTAGAAGATCAACAGCCGGTTTTTCGTGTATAATACAGCAGCGTACAGGGTGGTGAAGTCTGCTCCTCCACGCGGTGCCACCGGATACTGCTCGCTTTGCGAGCCAAACGCAGACGCACGAATGCAGGTGACGGGCCTCCGTGACGGGCCAGCCAACGAACACCCATGTCACATCAATATGTTTGTCATGCCATGTATATGGAGATAATGCTACGGCGTCCGCGGGAGCCGACGCGCACTCGTATGGTCCGGCGAGTGTGGAAAGTATGCGAGGGTTCTCGTTGCAAGGACGGCATCGGGAGGCAACCAGGCTAGTTTAAAATGGTGGCAGAGCAGCTTGTAAAGTCCGTATCGCAACGTTAAACGATGGAACCTTGACCGGACGTTCATGTGAATTAGCAGAGGCACTGGAGCGCAGACAAATCGATCTCTGTGTACTGCAGGAAAAAAATGGTCCAGTTGCAAGTCGAGAGACCTTGGTCGGGGCTTCAAAGCCATTCTTTTGCCATTTCTTTTGCAAGCTAAGAAATACTAACGGTGTGGCCGTAATCGTGGCCGTAATCGTCTCACGACGTTTCCGTTACTCGACAGCTAGCGTGGAACGTTTCGACGACCGCTTGATGGATTGTTCTTGCTGTCGAGCAGCGACTGTACCACTTCTTTTCTGCATATGCTCCGCAAACGGGATGCGCTGAATTAACACGAGTTTTGGGCTCTGCTTGAGGAGAAGACAGCTGAGGTACCGTCAGAGGACGTCGTAATTGTCGCTGGTGACCTTAACGGGCACGTGGGCGCAACGAAAGACGGTTACAGCTGTCATGGTGGTTTCGGTTATGGGACACGTAACGCCGATGGCGCATCTTGGAATATGCAGAAGCCCATAATTTCGCCATCGTAAACAAAAAGTTCCGTAAACGTGACTCCCACCTGATAACCTTCTACAGCGTAAGCGCCAGAACACAAATAGACTTTGTTCTTGTCAGGCATCGCGACCAAGGACTTGTCACAGACGCGAAGACCGTGCCGTACAGTGAAACAGTAGCCTCGCAACATCGTCCGCTTGTCTGCACTCTAAAGGTAACACCGCCCAGGTCGAAACAGATGGAGCGATGTGGTCCCGAGAGTATTAAATGGTGGCATCTGAAAGAAAAGGAAGCAGCTGTAATCCCTCGCATTCAATTACCAACTGTCACAAGTGTCGACGCAACGTGGAAGAATGCTGCCAAAGCAATTGTCCAAGCCGCTTGCTCTGAACTTGGAACAACGAAACCTGGAAGGCGTAGAATTGAAAAGCAGGCATGGTTGTGGACAGATAACGTCAGGGACAAGGTTCACAAGAAGAAGAAGCGCTACCACTTGTTCCTTGAAGACAAGTCAGCAGGCAACTGGCAAAAATACCAGGAAGCGAAAAAAGCGGCAAAGAAGGCTGTGGCTGCCGCAAAAGCTTCCCACTTCGATGAAATCAGCAAGAAGCTGGAAACGCGAGATGGCGAGCGGCACATTTACCGACTTGCTAAAGCTCGTCACAGCCAGGCCGAAGACGGGAGAAGTTCTTTGGCATCAATGACGAGAAGGGTCGCCTCCTGCTGGACCGAACAAAAGTGCTGAGGCGATGGCGCGACTACTTTAGAGAAATTCCCACAGTGGAATATGAGCACCCGGCCATCCCTCGCGCCTTACCAACGTACCCGTTCCAAAGATAAGTGTGGACGAAACGGAGGCGGCTCTCAAGAAGATGAAGCCAGGCATGGCAACGGGCCCTGACGACGTGGCGGTCGAAGTATGGAAGTCACACTGCTGGCATGCTGCCGAATGATTGACAGCATTTTTCAATCAGGTCGTTGCAGAGAAGAAAATGTCTGAAGTATGGAAGAGAGCACGACGGTACCGATATGGAAGAAAAAAAGGCAGTTCTGCAGACTGCTCGAATTATCGTCCAATTCGCTTGCTTTCGCACAGCATGAAAATTTTTGAGCGAATTGTTGATAAACGTCTTCGTGATATCGTCCAGCTCTCCACCAACCAGTGTGGCTTCGTGAGTGGCTGTAGCACCATCGACACCATACATGCCGCTCGTCTCTTGCTAGAGAAACATCGTGAGAAGAAGAAGCATGTCCACCTAGCCTTCCTTGATCTGGAGAAGGCATTCGACCGTGTCCCACGTGAAGTTATATGGTATACCTTACGGCAGCACGGCGTTCCCGAAGAGCTGATTGAGTGGGTGCGCATACTGTACTCCAGCCCGACGAGCGAGTGCGAAGTCCAGCAGGCGTTTCGATGGGGTTCCCCATCACCGTTGGGGTGCACCAGGGCTCAGCGCTTTCCCCGCTACTCTTCGTTGTCGTCATGAACGCCATTTTACGGGACCTGCAGAAGCCGGCTCCCTGGACGCTTCTCTACGCTGACGATGTGATGCTGGCCTGCGAGGATAAGAATGGTCTCGAGGAACAAGTGCAAGCTTGGACTGAACGGTTAGCAAACTTCGGACTCAGATTGAACGTCAAGAAAACCGAGCACCTGACAACTGACCCGGACGAGTCTGGATCCCTGAGGGTCAGCGGAAGTGTGCTCACGCGAACGACGGCGTTCAAATACTTCGGATCAACAATTACGTCTGACGGTAGTCTCTACTCAGAAGTGAGCGCGCGTGTGAATGTTGCCTGGTCTAAGTGGCGGTCTATGACTGGCGTTCTCTGCGACAAGACGATACCAGATCGCCTCAAATCGAAGATATATAAGACCGTGGTTCGACAAGTCGCGATATACGGTGCTGAATGTTGGCCTACGACCAGAGAAGTTGAAGCGCGTCTCGGAGTTATGGAGATGAAAATGTTGCGGTAGACAGCCGGTGTCACGCGTATGGATCGCATACGCAATGACGACATAAGGAAGAGATTCGGTTATGCTCCTGTGGCCGAGAAAATGCGCGAAGCTAGCCTTTGATGGTATGATCATGTTCTTCGCGCGGGGTGTGACACCGTCCGTAGGATTGGTCTTGACCTCGAAGTTTACGGGAAGCTGCTCAAAGGACGCCCCAAGCAGCGCTGGTTAGGCACGTTGCATGCGGACTTAAAGATTGTTGGCGCCCATCCCGATCAAGCATTCAATCAGGTGAGGTGGCGTGACAAAATAAGACGAGCGGGCCCCGCTACAGGCGGGACAAACGCTGAGGAGGAAGAAGAAGAAGAATACAGCAGCGTACAGCATAGTAGAGAAAATCCCATCAAGAGGTGTCATTTGGTCGTTGGAAGAGGGGTAGGGCCGCTCGGATAGGAGTGATCGGTACTGAGAAATTTTTAAAAAATAGAGTACAGAAAATTTTTTTTGCAAACAGTCTGGTGCTGAAGAAGTTACGGCAGTTCAAAGCGTGAAGTTCACCGTGTTCTCTGATTTACTTCTTAAGAACCCATTGAATCCATTTTTTGAATATTCAGACAAGCTCC